GTATAAGAAACAGCGATGGCGGTGATCCTGTTGATGCTACTGCTGATGACTATAATGATGCCGATCATGCTAATTAAACTGATGACGATGATGACGATGCTGACGAGGATTATGCTGACGATGATGATGCTGCTGATTTTATTATGATGCTGCGAATGATGACTGAGAAGCCCGATGACGATGATGACGATGACGATGCTGATGACGATGATGATGATGGTGATGATGGTGATGATGGTGATGATGATGATGATGATTATGCCGCTTGTGATGATGCTGGTGCTGCTGTTGCTGCTGCTGGTGAGTTTACGGATGTTGATGTTAATGACTGTTTGTGATGATGATGGGGATGTTGATGATGATGTTGTTGATTATGATGATGATGTTGACGATGATGATGCTGCTGATGATGGGGACGATGCAGACTACGGTACCAACGCTGATTGTGATACTGCTGATGCTACTGCGGATTCTAATGTTGATGCCGCTACTGCTGAGGATGCCGATGGTGACGCTGATGACGCTGATGGTAATGATGATACTGATGCTGTCGATGATGATGACAGTGATGATGATGCTGATGATGCTGATGATCATGATGATGTTGGCGCTGATAACGATGCTGGTGATGATTGTGTTTACGCTGGTAAGTGCGATGCCGATTATGCTGCTTGCGATGATGCTGCTGATGACGAGGCTGATGCTGCTGAAGTTGATGATGACGGCGATGACGACGACGGTGACGATGATGATGTGATGCTGATGACGATGGTGATGCTGATGATGCTGATGTTGATGATGCGGTTGATTATGATGATGCTGATAATGTCGTTGATGCTGATGTTGTTGTTGATGATGCCGATCGCGATGATGATGATGATGATGATGATGATGATGATGATGATGATGATGATGATGATGATGATGATGATGATGATGATGGCGGTGCTGCTGATGATGATGATGCTCGTGATGCTGCTGCTGAGGATGATGTGATGCTGATGGGGATGCTGACCTTGATTGTGATGGTATTATTACTAGTAACAATGTTAATGCGTATGATGCTGCTAATGCTGGTGATGATGATGTTGCTGCTGATGCTGCTGATGATGCTGGTGGTATGCTAGTGACGTTGCGGATGCTGATGATGATGATGATGCTGATGGTGATGATCATGACGATACTGCTGCTGATGATGATGAGGCTGATGAAGATGCTTATTCGCTATTAATGCTGGCAGCGGCGACGATGTTGATAACGACGACAACGACGATGATGATGATGAGGCTGCGGCTGCTGCTGATGATGATGCTGATGATGACGATGCGGATGATGATGATGATGATGATGATGATGATGATGATGATGATGGTGATTATGATGCCGATGTGTATACAGCTGATGATGGTGCTGATGCTGACGATGATGATGATGCTGAGGTTCTAGATGATTATGACGATGGCAATGCTGATGCTGCTGCTGATGATGATGAGTCTGATGATTCTGACTGGGCTGTTGTAGATGATGGTGATAATGCTGATGGTTATGATGATGCTTTCGATGATGATGCCGTTGTTTTTGATACGAAAATACTGCTGATTATGATGCTGCCGCTGCTGCCGCTGCTGCTAATCATGGTCGTTGGCATAATGACTGTTATGGGGGATACGGGGGAAGATGATGATGATGATGCTGAAAATGATGATGACGATGATGATGATGACGATGATGGTGATGATGATGCTGATGATGACGATGATGATGCTGATGATGGGGACGATGCAGACTACGGTACCAACGCTGATTGTGATACTGCTGATTCTACTGAGGATTCTGATGTTGACACCGCTACTGCTGAGGATGACGATGATGACGCTGATGACGCTGATGGTAATGATGGTAATGATGCTGTCGATGATGATGATGGTGATGATGTTGATGATCATGATCATAGTGGCGCTGATGACGATGCTGGTGATGATGGTGTTTACGCTGGTACTTGCGATGCCGATGATGCTGCTTGTGATGATGCTGCTGATGACGATGCTGATGATGCTGATGTTGATGATGACGGCGATGACGACGACGGTGACGATGATGATGGTGATGCTGATGATGATGGTGATGCTGATGATGCTGATGTTGATGATGCGGTTGATTCTGATGGTGCTGATGATGCCGTTGATGTTGCTGTTGTTGTTGATGATGACGATCGCGATGATGGCGGTGCTGATGATGCTGCTGATGATCGTGATGCTGCTGCTGATGATGATGTGATGCTGATGAGGATGCTGACCTGGATGTTGATGATAATACTGATGATAATGATGTTGATGCGTATGATGCTGCTGATGATGCTGATGATGCTGCTGGGGATGCTGATGATGATGATGATGGTATGCTAATGACGATGTGGATGCTGATGCTGATGATGATGATGATGATGAGGCTGATGGTGATGATCATGATGATGCTGCTGATGATGATGACGGTACTGATG